GTGGGTTTAGAAATTTTTGCAAGTAAACTGTCCTTTAGGAAACCATGAATAAAAATGTCTTATTTCATAAATACAGATCTTCAGCACCTGTCTCTAAGAAAGAAGAATTGTCAATATAAAACAACTTTGATTATTTGAGTCAAGTTTTTGTAGAACAAAGTTGTAGGTGCCAGTGTGCATCACTAGCATGAAAGTCTTCCCTATATCCCCATTTGCTCATTTACTTTGTTGCCACCCATTTCATTTAGATAACAGGGTTTTAATGTTAGAGGAGATCTGTGAAACTAGCTTTGTTGCTGCAAACAAGGCAATCTGTAGAAAATCAAGAGAGGATACAAAGAACACAAAGTTATACCAGGATTGGGGATGAACTCATGAGTGGGATGGATAGTACTAAATAATAGTACTGAAGAAAAATGGAATTATCTGAGCGAGATAATAGTAGCCTTTAATGTTGTTCAGCGAAACAATATAAATGGTTGAAAACTAACAATTCATCCTTCTGAGCTGTATGCAAGGAAGGAAATGTTTAAGATTGATTTTTAGAAGATTTCACAGTTAGATTCAGCAGTTTAAAATGTCTTGTAAGACATAGTGGTGGAAGTTCCATTCAAATTATAATCAAACATGGTTGGTACCAGCAGGAATGGTTCCATCAAATACAGACAGTAAGCAGATGGTCCTCATAGTCATTTACAGTTTCTAAGTGAGTAAGTCCACTCAAATTTGCTTTTTTATTCCTTTCTTTTTGTTGCGCACTGTGCACTGCACTACCGTAAGGATCTTTCTCTGCAGTTATACATGCCGTACTTATGTGTGCTGGTTTCAGATTACACTGATTCATGGGTCGGGCTGTACCCACTGGGTCACAGAGGAAGAGGACGATATTCCTGAAAATGCGAATAGGACTTGCTTGGGGATTATTTTGGGTAAATCAGGAAGTTTGCAGTTACTGCAGTAAGAACTTCCTCAAAACCTGGCACTAATCTCCCAATTTAAAAAACTGAATCACATCCAGGCGTTGTTTTGTTGGGTTTTTTTTTCTTCTGTTTCCCACTCCGCAAGGAAAAATAGAGAACTGGAGAATTGCACAGGGTACTACTGTAATATGTGAGATTAGGTTATTCTGTGACGTTTCCTCTATCAAGAAGGATGGCAGGGGAGGGATTAGGTTCAGTGTCCCCTGCATTTGCTTTCTTGTGTAATTACGGGAAATGCATTCAGTGTGCAAGGGTATCATTGCTGTCCTGCTGTTTTATCATTTCTTTATGAGATAATGTTGATTTCAGCAATGAAATGCAAATTTAGTTTACAGTGCTCCTTTTCTCCATATAAAGGTTAAAATGTATATTGTAGATAATACTGTTATTGAAGCTTTTGAAACAGTCTTTGTCAGCTAATTTTGGCAATACAGGGTTTTAAATGCTGTTCAGTGCAACTGCGTGAGGTTTATGTTGGCCTACATGAATTAATTTTAACCCAATACGCATGTTGGTACCATTTTGGCTATAATTCGATCAAGTCATCGTAGAATCCTGGTACCAACAAAAATGTTAAATATATAGTATGCCTCATGTGCGTTATGGCAAACTGAATGTGCAGTTATTGCATCTTAACTCTATAATCGTAAAATTCTTACAACACAGGGGGCTAGCGAATACTCCTAGGAATGCAGATGCTAATAGATTCTGTGTTTGGAGGGTATGTTTCTGTTTACTTGTAAACAAATACTTTGTATTGCTGGTGATAAAAGGGCTCAGAATTTTAACAAATCCTGTTAAAATCAGCCCAAGTGTAGATTACAGCTCCGTTTACTAAATGCAGGGACTCTAACAGCAATAAAATACATGCAAAAATGGAAATAGTTTTCAGCAAGTGGGTTCTAGCATAACAGCAAGGCCAGTACTAATGGAAGTTGCCTTTTTTATTGTTATCTCTTTAATGTATCTCGCTTTCCTGTGTAAGCTGCTTACTATTGTACAAAGAGAGGGTGTGTGTTAACTTTGGTGACATTGTGTTACTCCCATTAAGTAACGCTGTACACAGGGTTTTTTCAGCATGACTGTACTCAGGATTTTTATTGTTTTTTCTGCATGAGCCAAATAACATTTCATAACTAATAACAAATCCCATTTCTGCCTTAGGTGGTACAGCAATAAATTTGCTGTCGTGGTCAGTAAAAAGATTATATAGAAAAAGTAGGAAAAGGAGTGAGAGTTTTTAATGTATTTAGTATGAAATAATGTTTAGTACTCTTGGGCAAAAAGAGCAAAAAGGTGGGGGGAGAGGGTTTTATGAAATGAGATGTTCTGTTGTAGGCGATAATGGAAAATAGCTCTGAAAATGCTGAGTTGGAGTAATGACTGAATAATGTCTAAAGTTTATCAAAACTGAAAGAACTCCTCATGTGAAATGAAGCCTCCTAAGAAAATTCTGTTCTGTCGCTGTTTTGCCTTGCTGTTGTCGCATGTCACGCATGAATGAAAATGCTGCATTCTCTTGGGAGCAGTAAAGCTTCTGTGTAGGTTGTTTATTTCCTTAATCCCTCCTTCTTCATGATTTCCAATGTCAGATATAAAATGGAAAGCCTGTAAATATAGTGATTATCATACTGATTATCACCTGCATCAGGGAACGCCCCGGCTGGCCGTTGTAACCAGTCTCCACATGTTACAGCCACTTAGATTTTAACCTGACTACTTTATTAGAGATGTGAAGCTCAGTATGAGGTGCCCTAGGGCTGCACAGATGGGTTCTGCTTGTTTCCTGTTCTCACTGTTACTGTGAATAGATACTAAAAGGTTCTCATCGCTTTTATCTGGTTAATTTACTTTGAACTGTCCCTGGCATTCAGGGCCTGCCTCACATTTCGCACCATTTTGCAAACACCAAACTGTAGTCTCCAAATGTGTGTTTTGAGGTTTATTATCTTTTTTACTGGAAGGACCTTAATTCTTAAAAGGATGTAATTGTGAGAGAGGCTGATTCTTAGGGGGCTGTAGGCACAGTCCTTGCTGAAAGAATCTGCTCAGGAGTTTTTCTGAGGTCCGGTTGATAGAAGAAGAAAATTAAGATTGCTGTTGTTCTTTGGCGCTTTCAGACACCCTTAGATTAGAGGTCAACTGCAGGAAAATCTTTGATTGTTATGCTAGCTACCATTATTCATGCAGCCAGGCAGCAGACCAGACTAAAAGATGACACTCTAACAGGAAAATCCGAAGATGAGATACTTTTTAACAAATGTGCAATCATTTATCCTTTCTTGTAGAAGGGCCAGGTCTTTCAAACCACATGTGCTATGCATGGGTGCTCCAGCACAGAAAATTAAGATGAATTCTCTCAAAATCTCCCACATAAGGAAACACTACTTAACTGGAATAGTTTTTATTTCATGTACTGGTGTCCAGTTTCCTGGCTAAACAATAGTTTAACACGGATGTTAATGTCCTGCTGCCCTGGGACATTAAAGAAATCCCCTTAGGACAGATCAGTGTAACTTCCGATTTCAATTGCATGACCAAAAACCTGAGGTTAAAGAAGTAATTTGGCTACAGGACATAATTTTTAGCCCATTTACTTATTCTCTGCTCCCTTATCACTCCCTTCTTTCTCTTATTTTGTGTTGGTTTTTTTCTGTGTCACAGTCCCATTTGAGGCTTTCTTGATTGTGTTGCGGTTCATTGTAAGCGCATCACTTTAGAGTGGCAGCATGCAGACTCCTTTTTTCATACGAGCATAGGCTTTGTTAATCACATGCTGGTTTAGGAAAACACTGCATGATATCTTTGAACCCTATACTCCTTCTCGACAGCCAGGCTAGCAAATGTCATTGCCTGTGTGATGTACAAGAAGGAATTCAATTGTAAGTAAATTGTCAAAGTGGCTAACCTTGCCCGCACCCAATTGTCAGGACCATGATTCAGTTTTTCTGTCAACATCAGCTAAGGCTAACCCGGTCAGCCTTATGTTTTTGCAGGGAAGCAGCCTGAGGAGTTGTGCTTTTCAGCTTATCACATTTTATTAACCTCAACTTACTGTTGTTATAATCAGTTGTACCCACTTCAGATTCTTGTGCTTCCTCCAAATTGGCAGATTATATAGGAACGCAAGTATGTATTTTCTGCTGAGACTAAAAACTGTCATAGGGCCACTGGACTTAAATGGTTTGGTGCGGTAGTTATTTCGGTTTTGTTGGATTGGCTCACCATTTTGGCTCAAGACTTATCCCTCTATTAATAACACTTGGCAAAGATAATCTGGAAGAATGCAAGTTGAACTATAAAGACTTTGAGAGTTTTCTTAAATGCTTGCAATGTTAATGTGGAAAGTGAGTGAGAGGAAAAGATTGCTTTTGTCTTCTGTCTCCTTGCTTTTATTTCCAAACAGATTATAATTGCTCCAATTAATATAAATAAGAGATGAGGACATTCTGATACCCTGATGTTTCTTCTGTTCTGTCAGGAAAAGAACATGGTTAAATTGCCTAAAGCAGTGATTAAGACATCAGAGTATTTTAAAATGCTCATCTGATTCCACCACGAGGGCTTGATCACATTTTGTGATCCTTTTTTTAATGCACTGTAGATGACAAGTGATTTTTTTTCAAATGACTTGATAACCTGTATCCCATGAAGTGCTGTACATAAGTGAAGATATAATGCCATTTCAATTAAAAGTATGTCTGAAGGATGTTTGTCTGGGTTTGAAGTAGTGGTTTCCTAGTCCAACTCCTATCTCCAGAAGTAACTTTCCAGGCTTGCCTGGAAAAAACATACTGTACCTTCTTTATTTGAACTTGTGAAATGTGTTGACATTGAACTGTTGTTGGGCTTGAGGGAAGGAGGGGGAAGCTTTTGGTGCAGCTATCAGAATTGAACAACTGTATATGGGTATATTGAGATAATCGTGTAAAAGGAGAACCGGCTGAATGAGTTTCACAATGTGTTATTTCTTCATTATCTAGCACTTTATAATTAACTGTTCTTTTTTTATTATTTCAGGAAGCTGCCACTTTTGCTAGAGAGCAAGGCTTTGAGGTGAGTTAACCCACAATTGCACACTAAACAGATCCTAACGGGTTTTTTTCTTGCTGATAATGAAGTTCTTTTGGACAATGATTGATGTGCTATTATACTCTCCAAGCCTCGCAGCGGTTGCCATGGAAACTTGGCAGTCGTCATGGTTTCTTTGTTCTGCCAGCTCAGTGTTATGACGCACTCTGCTAGGTCTGCACCCAACATCGCCTACAGATGTTATTTATTGAATTTTGAAAAGCCTCTTGGGAAGCCGAGAGGTTGGGCACGGTTTCAAGCTGCCTCTGCAGATATGGGACCTGTCAGTTTGTTCAGTTAAAAAGCTACCTCATTAGCTGCATTACACTCCATAAGGATTCACTGCTAAAGCAGTGGTGAAGCAAGACTAAATAGTGAAATATAACACCGCTTAAATAACTTAAACCCTGCCATATGCGGATTATCATTATGCAAATGAATTTTAGAAAGGTGGTATATAAAATTGTTAGGTACTGATTAATGTAAACCGTGCTTCTACAAACAGCTTCTTTCAGAAGGGGTAGTGTGGAATTTGTGTTTCAAAACATATTCGAGTTGGTGTTTTCCATCTGTGCTCTAAAAATGTATGCTCCTCTACTGTCTTGAAGTAAACACTGATGATTTTACAGTGATTTTCAGAGCTTTTGATTTCACCTTCTTGAGGTATCTATTTGAATAGTATCTCCCATTGGCTAAATTCACATAACTTAATCTGGAGAGCTATCATCTATTGGTCTCTAATGCTAAATTCAAATAGGCAGGTTTTAAATACTATAATTAATGTGACAACGGTTGTGCTAATTTTGCAGATAGTAAGCGATCTTACTGAAATCTATGTTGCAGTACTGAACACACATAAATCCTTTTACATGTTTTTTCAGTGAAATAAGATCCACCTTAATTGATTTGTTTGCAGTGTAAAAGAATAGATAGGAGTTTGACTGCTCAACACCCATTTTGCATAAATAATAGAAGCCGCGCAATTCAAACCGCATTGCTTTAAGAACGTGCCACTTTTGTGTGTGGATGGCTGCATATAAAAAAAGAGGGAAAGACTGACAGCTTTTGTTCTACAATTTAGATTTCTTTAGAACCATACACCAGCAGGTACATCAATGCCATCGGTGTTTTAGATATTAAAACTGTGGGCTGTCCCATTTCATTTTATGTTTCCCAAATTCATGTGGCTGCTTTGTAGCAATCAAGACTTTTTATCACTGTCAGTGTTCATTTGTATAATCCGTAGTGTTAGCATAAAAATGCACTTTGAGTTTATTCTATCAAATGAATGAATTTCACAGATGCCTCCAAATATAATATGAAGCATAACAAATTATTGGTACCCTCTGGTAGCTAGACAATAAAAAAGAAAGGAAGTAGTGTATTAAGTCTACCCATTCTATATTTTTATTGCCCCCTTGAGCTAAAGACTTTGAATGTGCCTGGTTTAAATTCAGTTCTAGTGACAAACTGCTTTTGCTGGTGTCTGCTAACTACCATCATATTAACCTTTCCATTAGTGCTTGCTTAGAGATTTTAGCACGGTTCCTTCTGAACATCCTAAATCTGCCACATTTGATTACAGCATATCAGTAAAGTGCACAATGATTATGATCTTACCTCTTATTACCCCCTTGCTTGGCAACAACTCGCATGTCAGGTTTACTGGCAGAGATGTGTAAAACTTGGTAAGCGTCCACAATCTTGTTTTCCCATTGTGCTGTGGAAGAAAAAAAACCAAACAAATCACACTACCAATAAAGTACCTTACAAAAAAGCTCACAGGGCTTCAAATCAGCCTTTCAATTAAAAATAAGAAACACTTCCAGGAACTCTCAAAAGCTTCTAAAATTGATTCTGTGATTTATATTGAGATTAGAAAGCTGGCAAAACATGGGAAAGTGAAAGAAAGAACTCAAGTGATCAGGGCAAAAATCAAGAGGAAATTTATCATAGAAGTGATGAAAAGGTGCTGGTAGCTGAATTTGAGTTGCAGCCTGGAAAGAATTCTGGTTTTTAACAAAAAATAATCAGAAGTATTTTAGCACAGAAAATCAGTTGTGACGGGCTGCTTTTTTTTTGGTTTTTTGTTTTAATCATCTCCTTTTCTACCTCTGTGTAATTTCAACACTTCCTGTAGACTAAATGCATCTTTTCAACATGGATTGAGGTAAGTATATCTGAAACAATTTTCAAGAAAAAAAAAAAGTACAATCAAGTCAACTTCAGCTCTTCACCTAAAAATACACCTTCTCAGAAGAAACAGAATCTTGTCATAGGCAGGAGAACACTTCCATGGCACAAATCTGGGGTTTTTGTTTGTAAGAGAAACTACATTCAAAGGAATTTTTACTTTTATGCTTCCCCTCACCAAGAGTTAGCTTTCCATTGCACTTTGCTGAAATACAGGGTATTTTTGTAAAATAAATCGTGATATTTGAAGACCATTATTTCCTTCATTTTATCTCCTGGACCAACACTTACCTGTAATATCAAAAGTAGAACATTACTTTTGATGCAGTCTTTTCCTGGAGTGCATCAGTGTTTCCTTTTTTCTGAATTTTGTGTTCTATGACATTTTAAAACTTTTAAATAAATAGTAAATTCACTGTTTGAGAGAGTGCTTCATCCTAATTGTATGTTGCAGTCATCTCACTAATTCATTATAATAGTCACAGTTTTTATCTTAAGAGAACCCTTGGATGCGGTTCCCCTTGAAGTGGAAGAATGGTTATCAGTGTATTTTGATTGGATGTTTGTAATATGTTTCAAATAACAAAATTCCCAAGACAAAGGTTTATGAGGTGTTTTTTTTTACAAAGTGGTAACTTGTTGTTTATTCTATGTAGGAATTAGGAGAACAAAATCCTACTTTAACATAAAATTTAGGGTTCAATCCTAGTTGTCAACCCAAGAAGTAAAATGATGTGAATGAAACTGTAGGTATCTAAGGGGTTAGTACCTTCCTTCTACTGTTACATGCTTACTGTATATTTAATTATTGCTGAAAATCCATGTGCTTTTTACTTTCTTTCACTGTCTACTGTATTTCATCCTTTACCATATTTCTTCAGTAACCTTTTCCTCAGGGTCCTCTTTCCGTGATATAAGTTCATCTTTATTCTTTTATAAACTGAAGAAATCATCTCTTGATCATGCCATTTTCTGCTATTATAACTTCCTAATTTTCCTTTTAAAATTCAAAGTGCATGCAAATACATAGCACAAATATCTCCAAGCCCTTTGATTTCTGTGCCTGCTTTGCTCCTCTGTAAATGTGCTTAATAAAGTCACTAGTAGCCACTTCCTAGTTAGCAAAAACTAAACACCTCTCTTCTGTTTCCTTTGATCTCCATCATGCTTTATTGCATTTTCTATTTCATGGATCTCTTAATTACCAAGGCCTGAAATAGTTCAGAATTTAGGTTAACCTTCAGAAGCCTGCATATTGCCAAGCTGGAGGGCTGTAATTCTCCATCCATCTCCTATTCAACAGCTTGTGCCACCAGCTGATATCTGCTATTCACAAATCTCTTAAAAAGACATTTCAGAACAGAAGAGCGGCATTTTTTTTCACTGATATCTTCACCTTTTGAGAATTAGAGTAAGATGGCCCTGTTCACTATCTTCAGTCCATGCAGAAGGGTCCAGGGTTCTTCTCTTTCCTCTCTGGTGGAAGATGTTGCTTTCCGGAAGCTATATTAACATTCTAAGCAGAAAGAAGGAAGAAATACACAAATGAGAGTGTAGTATATGGAAATGAAAAGTCATCAAGAATTTTAAAAGAGGTGAAGAGACCAATAAATAAGGAAAATTTATTTTCATGCTTGGCAAATGTGTATAAATCAATCACTGGCAGTTGGGGAAGAAATTAAAGGGAGTCTAAGGGTATTGCAAAGAAGCTAGATAATTTCACATAAATAGATCCTGGTAAATATATAGCCCAGGCATATTCTTTGTCCATAAGGAAGGTGAAGTGCTTGAAGATCAACCAGATTATCAAAAATCAGCAAGTAACCAGGACTGCATGGTATGCAGATTATAGTTCTTGAGGTCTTTAACTGACCTACTGGTAATAAATAATTATCTCCTGTTAAAATCAGCAGCTGTAGTCAAAATAGCACATATTGTACCTATAGCACATATGTTGATTTTGGAACATAAAAATTTATTAATAATATATGTTAATTGTAGCAACTCTGGTAAATGACCAGAAACCAGTCTGGAAAGCTTTATAAATCAACTCTATTCATTATATAATTATATAATATAATGTGTTAAAAAATTACTTGAGATTCATAGCAAGACACAAAACAGTGCAGAAAGTGTTGTTACGTTTTCATACATGCAGTGCTAGGCCCTCACCAAATCAACTGGTTTTCACTACAGTTGCTTGTATGCATGAGCAGACTGGGGAAAAAAGGTATGGTGTTACTTAACATGGATATAAATAGAATGGGACATAGTAAGTAGCACAGAGAGTAATTGTAGTCTTTTGTTTCCTAATGATAAAAAAATATAAAATGTATTTAAAAAATGATGGCAAGAAATGGGGTTACATATACCAAAGTTAATTTGAGCAACCTACTGACTTGAGATAAATCTGGGAGCAAAAGCATCCAACATAACATTATAATAGGATTTTATGCTTACACCAACAAGAGGAATGCCTGTATTTAGACTAGATTGAAAACTAAGTAAATCAGAAATTGAAATCCTTGTGTTTCAGATCACAGGGCAACTATGAGAATAGGAAGGATAATATTCTAATGACATCTTGTGTTCTTAGAGTTTCTTGAATCAAATTAAGCATTTGAAACTTGTACCTGTTGAAGACATTGGATGAATGAAAGGTTTGGGTTTTGGCCAGTGTCTCTGTTCCTAGCTACATGCACTCTGGTGTACAAAGTCCCTTTAAAAGCAAAGATTCCTGAATTTTTTGCAGCTTAGTCTTACTTCAGAAAATCGAGGATGTTCTGTGCCCCACTGAATATACCTTTCACCCTTTGCTTCCCTGCATCTCAATTATGCAAGCAGCTAGTGAGCACAGAGCATATTCACCTGGGCTCCACACCTTCTAAGGCACTGCAGTGTACAGTCGGTTTACTTGCTGAGATCAGTTGCTGTAGGGAAGTGAGGGAAACAGTATTTGTAATCCTGCTGAAATCAGAGGGATTATAGTACTATAAAACCTGGCTAAATTGGATGAAAATCAGGCTCAAGAGTTGATCCAAAGTATTCTCTTTCCGATTTTACCTTTAATTTTATGGTAGGTAAGGTTAGAATCCAGTCAGCAGCAAAGAAACCCACTAATTGCTCATTAGGAAATGCTCTGTAATTCCTTTGTTAGCTTTGCAGTTTTGCAGCAATTGGAATAGCTGAACTATCATTATCAAGATTAAAAACAATGGTCTCTCAGTACTACATAAACCCTTAGGAGAATGAAATATTCCTCCTTTTAAAAATCTTCCTCTACTGACAATAAAGTCTGTTTTATACCTAGCCATAAGAAAAAAAAAAATCTTTGATCTGCTAATAAAGTTCTAATCTCCCACTGCTCTAGTGTGCTGGTAACAAGAATTTTCTTTCTCTCCTATTAATAGACTGAAGATATTAAAGAGATAGCCCGCAAGACACAAGCCCTGCCAAAGGTGAACACTAAAAGGCAACGAATCGTAGTCTTTACCCAGGGGAAAGATGACACTGTAATGGCTACAGGTATATTTTTCAAATCTCCCTTGTTGCTCACAGTAAATATTCCAGTTAAACAACTGCAAATTGTGGCTTTACAAATTTTAACTGTTAAATGGTCGTTGGAGCATTTGCCTTTTGGTGTTAGCCCCTGATGCTCATCTGTTACACTTATAATTGTTTTAAGATTCTGAATTTAAGAAGTTGATATTTCACAGCAATGCCTGGGAATTTAGTTCTGAACATCTTAAGTTCTTTTTTTATAACATATATCTAAAATATTGATCCAGTTGGTTTTACTCAGAATTTTATGACTTGAGATTTTATCTGTGTAGCCGTCTTTGCTGCAAACAAGAACACACTATGCCTGCTGAGAACAGCTGTGCAACAGTATAGTATATTTAAACATTTGTGAAGAGGAGGAAGTGAAATCCAGTACTAAGTGAATTTCCAGGCACTTTTGCTTTGAGCAGAAAGTCTCACTTTAGCTTTTCTCAGCCGTCTGCTCTTCTATTCTCAAAGGAGTACGTGGGAAAAAGGTGTTCTAGCAGGGATACAAGCAGTTTGTGTTTTCTAAATTGATGATGAACGACGCACACATTTAAGCATTATAAACATGACTGCCTACCTTTTGACAGTCTCTTTAATTCTGTCCACCTATGCTTCTAGACTAAACAAGCTATTAAAAACATGTGCCGTGGCAAGCCATTTTTGCCGTTCCTTCCTTCACAAGGTAAGTTATTAGTCAGGGCTGAATTGCTGCTTTGGAAATCAAGTGAAGTTGAGGAAGCTTTGCACCTGAGGGACTGGTGCTTACTCATGTGATATTTGCCTCCAAATCAGAATTGGCTTCAGACTGTGGCTGCAGGGCTAGGCACTAAGTAGGTATGTCACTGCCATATAGATCATTCTTAGCAGCAGTTTGAATGATTTCTGCAACAGTTTGCTGTTTCCCCTATCTTCTTAGCTACAAATTGGTTTGAAGGAAATACAAAACAGTCATTGAGGGTTGCGTATGTGTATCTCACTGAATAATGATGGAAGCATTGCATTACATATGGAGGCACTCCACTAGAGTATTTTACAGTTGGCTGAAAAATGGCAGCATAAAAATGTTTTTATACATGAGTTAGTAATAACAGTAGTAAACCTAAATCTTATATGTAACCGTCCTGTGCTCTTATTTAATTTTCACAGTGTACTTATTTTATTCTTCAAACTGGAGTTGTTAACAAATCCATTAATCCCGTCTTTGATATTTTTACAACTGGGAGCTTATTTGAGGACTGGCACTTGCTAATCTTAGCTGTTTGTTCACTATGAAATGAACTTAAATTAGAGAATGCACTTTATATGCATGATAAATACAAGATGGATAGAGAGTGTATGCAATCGTGTCAGCTACAAAAGCAAACATGATAAATGTTAAGGCAGTTTTGAGCCGTGGGATAAGCTATTCAGTGCACAAGCATAGCTGAATCTCTTTGCTATGTTGTTATTCATGGCAGCCAAATAAATGTCAATAATAAAGGAGAATTAAAGATTTTCATTTCCCAGAGGCAGTCCTCTAATACAGCTTGATCTTTCATTTCATTTGTAATTCGTTCTCATGTCAGGATGCAATCATTCGCCAGGCTCTGTGTGTCATGTTAAGTCATTTAATAATGATTAAGAACATAAAAATGTTTGGCCTGTGGGGCAGTTCTTGAAAGAGATACCGATTTGTTATTGTTTTCCCCCTTTTTCCTTCCTTTGGTGTGGATCATCTTTTTCCCAGCTCCTCACATTAAAATAAGAGTGAAAGAAGGAAAACGTGTCCCTTAATTTAGCATATCATGATACCACAGAATGGCATAGCGTAGTGCTAACACACTTAATTCAACACTAATTAGGTCTAGTTCTGCTTTGAAACTTGCAGTGGAAAGTGTAAAAAGTTTCTAAGTGCTAAGTGATCTTTGGAAGAATTACTGCATTTAGGAATACAGTATAAAATACATTTCCTTTTTGTAATGCACAGGAGTACATTTTCTGAAGAAGCAAGCTGTGTGTAGTTATTTATCCTGCCTTTCTGAGGGAAACAGTATAGTCTCAAAGAGTTTGTGCCTGGATTAAAATAGCATTTGCAATGTCAGCTTTGGACTTGGATATGCTTGTTGGTACCTTCTGCTTTGTATTTTCTCCAGGTTAATAATAGTAAAAACAATGTGTTTGTTAGCTGGAAGGCATTTCTGTCAGTAGTAACTCAGAGAGAGGGGATCAGTATCCAGGCAAAGGACTCTACTCTTCCTTCCAGTCTACTACTGCTTTTAACCATCCTTCCCCAGCTGTTGGGCAGGTCACTTATTCCAGTGGTCTTAGTTTATGTCTGAAAGAGCATAGGATGGGGCTGGAGTTTACAGATATGGGAGTGAAAGACCAAGGTAAATTTGGCCTTTGTGGGTTTTTTCCTTCCCTTCCCATTTTCCCCATGGGAAGGTCTTTGCTTTCTGGCAGCAGCACGGGGCAGCATTACTGTGAGCCATGGGAGTAGAAGTGAATTGCTTTGATCAGGCTACATTCTGTGAAGAGACACAGGCAAACGGCCCACCCACTTCTCCTTTCCCTTTCCAGTGCCCATGCACAGCAAGACGAGAAAGGCAGTACTGAGGTTGTAAGAGCATCCTTAACAGAGCTGTTTCCTCTGTCAAATCCTCTGCATACTGTCCAGGACCAGGTGGCAGTGGGACTAGGGAGTGAGGGGCTGGGTAACGAGAGGAGGTGTGCATCCTTTGAATGAGTTAGGTGTAGAACAGATAGAGGATCAGGTAATGGAAATAATGAAGGGATACACTTTGATACAGCTCTGGCTGGAAGGAGAGGAAATAAGATGGATAAAAGGGGTTGCAGCTTGCCAACTCATTTGTGAAAGGGCACAGTATTAATTATACATCCTGGAAATAAGGTGTGGATTTGGGGGGATTTTTTAGTGGGGTAAAGGCCAGTTACAGCTGATCATTGTATGCAGAGAATACTATGGCAACAGTTGTTATTGCTTCCTAGACATTCCAGAGAGTGGAAATTTCGGTGGGTATTTGCAGAGTAGAGCATAGGGCAGAAAGCTGCAGTTTGTTACCAAAAAGAAAGATTGACCAGAAAGTTTTGAGAATGCAGCTCTTGCAAACGAGGAAGAGAGCTTAGACTGAGGCACTAAAGCATCTAATTCCTCAAAAAATATGGTTCAGCCATACTGCAAAGATGTTTAGTCATCCTATGAGTTGCTGCAGTTTACACAGTGTTGTTTTAATGCCCACCAAAACCACTGTTGGCTCACCTCAGACTACGAGCTGTAGGCATTCAGGCATGGACTAACAAGGAACTTAGAGGTCCATGCAAGTAGAGCAGATCATGAAAATGGAGAGAAACAATAACTGCATCAGCAATCCCAATCTAAGCCATTCCCATCTCTCAATCCACATTCTTTGGCTGTCTCAATGATTTCTATTTTCAGAGGAAAAAATTTGTATCTCTTTATAATGGAATGCATTGGATCTTTCTACTGTCTGTTCATATCTCTTCCGTCACAATACTCCAGCCCCAAGGCCCCTTTTCTCTCCCCTTCCTTTCTGTTCTCTGTCAGTAGGAATAATTACAAGGAAGAGGCAGGCTCAAATTCAATCTGAGTGTGATCAGTGTGTTTTATAGGGAAGGAAAGAAGTGTTTAGTATTGGCACACAGGAGCTGTGTGATGAAATGTTAACTAAATTGTCAGGTTCTAAGACTCCACAGAGCATGTGCAAATGATCATGGTCTGAAGTTTTCCTCTTCATGTCATAGAATCATAGAACGGTTTGGGTTGGAAAGGACCTTTAAAGGCTATCTAGTCCAACCCTCCTGCAGCAAGTAGGGACACCTTCCACTAGACCAGGTTGCTCAAAGCTTTGTCCAGTCTGACCTTGAATGTTTCCAGGGATGGGACATCTGTCACCTCTCTGGGCAACCTGAGGTGCATTTTTGATGATGTCAAATGATACATTTTTACTGAAAAGCTTGAAGACATTGGGCCTCCTCATTGACCCTGAGGATTAACACTGACAAAAATGTTGTTTTCTGTCACATTGGTCCTCAACGTGGCTGAATTTTGATAAAACTCTCTTGAACAAAAGTATCCTGTAAGAGACCCCTGTGATGAAACCTCTTAGTACAGAGAGAGAAGTAGGCTTTGGGAAAGGTACTGGTAACTGAAGATAGGATCTGTGGGCTTCCTTACCAGAAAAGTTTATTTGAGGAACACTATTGGGTTAATTATTTTTGCTGATGCTCCCCATACATACTGGGAATTACTTGGCTATCTAGACTCTGGTCTCACTACCACAGCCGTATTCCATTGGGTCTTTCTTCCCAGGCCTGAGGTTCCGAATCTGACTGAGGGTTCCTGAGATTCTGGGATACATTCATTTCACCTTTCAATACTTCTTTCTGTGACCACAAAAATACATATGTGGGGAAAGCAAGGGGAGTTAATGAATACATGCAGTCTCCTGATTTCAGCAGTTGGAGCTTTTAAGAAACGTACCAAAAATCACAAGCTCTGGCAAGAACATATATGTCATATCTATATGTGTGCTATAACATTTGTCAGAATTAAATGCTGTGAAAGCTATCCCTTTTACAGAGTTGTTCATAACATTTTTAAACAAATTACTTTTAGTCAGATACATTTTATGACTGGTCTTGGCCCAAAGGGAAATCTTTGGAAAGTCTGAGCAAAATCAGTTCTGCAATGGAAAAACATACTTTTATATTGAAATATTTGCATAATTAAAAAACAGCTGAAGCTACAAACTTTAAACTTGGCTTGCTTTATGGCTCTAATAGAGGAAAGAAAAACAATCCAAATTTAAAGAAAATCACTTCAGCATTTTTCAAGTTATGAATGATGAAATCTGGCATGTTCAGACATGACCATGGAATTTTCCATTCTTTTTCCCCCCAATGTTTTCAAGACCACCTCTGTTAAGGACACATTTGTAATAACCTCATTTGTTAAA